CAGATGCCTGTGCCTACACCAGTCACCCATGTCTGTCTAGAACTGTAAGTGAGAGCCTGCACCACATACTTGGTGGCCGACTACCTGAACATCTGAGCTGAATTCATATAGGAGGACTGGGCAGGCTCCTGGGCTCATGTACTTAGTGGCAGGTCTGACCATTTGGTGGCAGGATGCTGGAGCTTCAAGGGCGCCAGTGATCAGGCTAGCTCACACAAGCAGCCTATTTGCGCATAACAAAACAAAACAAGAAGCTAAGATACAGTAAGCAAACATAAAATAAATAAATATAATAACTTATTAATGGCTCGGAGACAACAGTCAATATCAAATCAAATAAAGAGGCAGACCATGACGGCTTCAGCAAGCTCCCAAAATAAAGAATCAAGAAATTTTCCAGAAAAAGAGAATTTCTCGGAATTACCGGAATTAGAATACAAAAAATTAATATACAGAACTCTTCAAGAGATCAGGAAGGAGATTATGCAAAAAGCATACCAAGCAACAGAGGAGCTTAAGAAGGTTAGAGAAGAGCATAATGACAAATTTAACGGGCTGCAAGAATCCATACAGAGATAGCAATCAGAAATCCAGAAGATTAACAATAAAATTTCAGAATTAGACAACTGAATAGAAAGGAATAGGAGCAGAACTGAGGCAATGGAAGTCAGAATTAGTGAGATGGAAGATAAAGCACCTGACACCAACTTATTTGAGGAAAACTCAGATAAAAGGATTTAAAAAAATGAAGAAACCCTAAGAATTATGTGGAACTCTGTCAAAAGCAATAACCTACAAGTGACTGGAGTATCAGAACGGGGGAGATAACATAAAATACAGAGAGAATTGTTGAAGAGTTATTGACAGAAAATGTCACTGATAATGTGAAAGATGAGAAGATATCTATCCAAGATGCTCATCGAACCCCACATAAGGTAGATCCCAAAAGAAAGTCACCAAGACATGTTATAATCAAACTTGCCAAAACCAAATAAAAAGAGAGAATTTTAAGAGTGGCTCGGGATAAATGAAAAGTCATCTATAAAGGACAGTTAATAAGAATAAGCTCGGATTACTCAGCAGAAACCATGCAGGCAAGAAGGAAATGGGAAGACATACATAAAGCCTTCAAGGAAAGAAACTGCCAGCCAAGAACTATACATCCAGGAAACTGTCTCTCAAATATGATGGCAAAATTAGGGCATTTCCAAATAAACAGAAGTTTAGGGAATTTCCAAAACCAAACCAAAATTACAAGAAATACTAAAGGGAGTCCTCCAGTTAGAAAATCAATAACATCAGATAACAACCCAAGACTAGAACACAGGACAGAGCAACCAGATATCAACACAGATACAGAAGTGACAAAAATAAATTAAAGCTAAAACATTGAAAATAGGGAAACAGATGTTAATATGCAAAAGATGACAACAATAAAACAAAAAAGATGGACTAAAAAAATGTAGACATAGATTTTTCATATGGAGAGGAAGTCAAGGTGATATAAAGAAATAAAGACTGATTTAAACTTAGAAAAATAGGGGCAAGTATTAAGGTAACTGCAAAGGAAACTAACAATCCTACACATCAAAATAAAAAACAAGAAATATATAAAGACTCAGCAAATACAAAATTAACAACAATGAAAAAGATGAAAAGAAAACACAAAGAAAAATGACTCAGCACAAAAAATTAAGTGGAACAAAGGAACTGTCAACAACACACAAAAAAGACATCAAAATGACGGCACTAAACTCATACCTATCAATAATTTCACTGAATGTAAATGGACTAGATGCACCAATAAAGAGACAGAGAGTGGCAGAATGGGTTTAAAAAACACGATCCGTCTATATGCTGCCTACAAGAGACACAATGACTTAAAGACACAAACAAACTAAAACTCAAAGGATGGAAAAAAATATATCAAGCAAAGAACACTCAAAAAAGAGCAGGAGTGGCAATATTAATCTCTAACAAAATAGACTTAAAGTAAAATCCACCATAAACAATAGCAAAGGACACTATATAATGATTAAAGGGTCACTATACCAGGAGAACATAACGATAATAAATATTTACGCACCCAACGACAGGGCTCCAAAATACATAAAACAAACCCTAACAGCAATGAAAAGAGAGATAGACAGCTCCACAATAGTAGTAGGAGACTTCAACATACACTTTCGGTAAGAACAGAACATACAGAAAGAAGCTCAACAAAGACACGGCAGATCTAAATGCAACAATCAACCAACTTGATCTCATAGACATATACCCAACACTCCACCCAACAGCAGCCAAGTATACTTTCTTTTCCAACACACGTGGAACATTCTCCAGAATAGACCACATATTAGGCCATAAAGCAAGCCTTAACAGAATCCAAAGCATCCAAATATTACAAAGCATCTTTTCTGACCATAAAGCCATAAA